GACCATCATTCCATGCAGGATCGAATCCTTCCCTCTGTCATGCTTGGTTCATTCCCGAGGCAGGGCGCTCCCTCTGCTGGCTCTCCGGAGCTGAGCTTTCACAYGCGGGCACATGGCTAAAGGAACTGAGACAGCAATAATACTGCTTTTATTGGGCTGCTTTGTCGTTTTATGTCCTCGACACTGAGGGCACGGATAAAGTCTGTCCATTCAAATGCATTTAAAAATAATCCCCACTCGTGGAATAAGGTGAAGCTAAAAATACTCTGTTCAGAAAGGCTATTTCTGGAAAGAGCCTAAAACRTTTTATTTTTATCAGGTCAGTCCTCCGTTTGCCTCAATGATCTGCTGTTTTAAACCCATGTTGTTCACTCRCAAAAGGCAAATCAGTGATGTCAAAGTCCCTTTCAATAATTTCCTCTCATTTCATCCTAGGACCTGCTCCAACTCACGTTGCCAGCTTTTCTGGAGAGAAAACACCTTTTCCTGCTCATAGTGTGGCCTCAAGAGAGGCTACTGCTGCTTGWAAAGCCATAGGGAGAAGCTACATGCTGGAAATCATCAAAAGACAAAGAAATATCCAGCCTGAAGGATAAATTTCTTTTGGATGTGTTTTTTTTATAGCATCTGCTCATACAGGTGATTGATTTGCCTACACATTTTTAGAGAATGCTTATTGTTAAGCAAAGCCACTGATAAAGCAGCTTCAGTAATTAACCACTGTTCTGAGGCTGGGAAACATCAGTAGGAACAGCATTTCCTTAATGAACTGTCATGCTGGGTTTCAAAGGAGAGGAACACAAGCAGATGCTGAGGTGAACTCGCTCTCCTGGAGGTTGATACACCCCAGCACCCGGTGAACTCCCTGCCTGGAGGAAAGGAGCTGCTCCCACACCTCCAACAGCTGCATTTAGCTGCTGACACGGCCACATCTACACGGTGCTGAAAGGACTCAGACCTGCTTGTGGAGCAAGTTTATTGAGGGCAAGGGAGAGAGAATTAGGGGGCTCATTTTATTTCTCACTGTGACCTCATCGGTCCAGGTGACAGCACGACCCAGGAGAGGCACTGCTGCTTGGTCAGAGGATGGAGACTGCAAATCCCCCCAGTTTCTCTGGCTCAGTGCTTGCAAAATTCAACCAGAGCTAATTTTAAAGGCCAATGCTGACTATAGAGGCCAATYCTATCAACCAGAATCCTTTACTTAAAAGCATCTTAAAAAAGATCCTTTGGTGACCAGATAACCTTGAATTAACTGTTTGTCCCAGACACCATCTAATTTCATAATCTGAAACATCATCATTGAATATCTGTCATAATTCACTTAATTGCATGTCTGTTGCTACAGTGCTTCAATTTGGGGAAATTTCTGTTTTCTTACTCAGGAAAACAGTTTACACTCTCAAGACCAATTTGCCAGCTGGAGCACAGTTCTTCTGCAAATGGATGCAAAGATAAGGCTCTCATAAATATCTGAAAGCACCATCATCTCTGCATTTGCASATTCACCAGCATGAATCTCAATGACAGCACATCCCTAGCACAGGATGCTCTGAAGGTGGTCCCCTACAACAGGTCCTGTGGGTTTTCAGGCACGGTCACAGCTCCAGTTGGGAACTCAGGAAGGACTCAGGAGTGCAAACTCCCCACAAAGAGACCAGGAAGTGTTTTGTCCCCGTCTTTTACATGGATTTKCTTCCCCAGAGGAGAGATCTGTGCTCCTGGAGGGGTAGTGAGAGGATCACCAGCTGATTAATCCATGCAGGGGACTGTGCTGATGTGCTGTGCACTGTTTGACAGTCACATGCATAAATAGGACAGAGTTTCCCAGGTCAAAACACTGACAGACACCAGAATCTATTCTTTAAGACCTTGGATCGTATGTTTAAAACAACTCAGAGATCTTCCTGCATCTTCATTTCTCCTCAGGGAGTTTTAGTGTGGTCCTGATTTAGTGCTTGTTGCAAAATGAATGAAATGTCAGTTCTGTTTAGCATAGTAGTCTGATTTTATTGAATGTAATGATACTTGGATATTTCCATCAAAGCCTTATCTCCACGGCATTACGAGAGAAGCTTGCAGTCTGGAGAGGGGCTTTATATGATTTAATAATTGTCATCTCATTCTTAACTGTTGGAAGTGAAAATGGAGCAATGTGTACACTGCTGATAAAATGGCCTCGACAAACAAAAATGGAAAAGAGATGACCTCCCTCCAATTTTTCTTCATTTTTCTCATTATTTGCTACTGAGCCTGGCCTGATTTTTAGAATATCTGTTTTACTACTTGTATTAAAATAAAATRCTTCTTATAGCTTTGGAAGTCACTAATAATTGGAAAAACACCTTGTAACCCCAGGGATAGTTTTTGATCTCCTGACGTTTGCATTTAGAAGAATTACTGCTGTCCTCTGAAACAACTTTCGTGGTTTGATATATGAAACCCAAAGTTAATCAAATTGCGATATCTTCATATCAGTGAAAATCGTTTTGACATTCAGAGAATGTTACCWCTTTTTAAACCATATCATAAATATTACTATCCATTTCATCAGTATAACATGACCATTTATATTGATGTATTTCAGGATGAAGACACATGGCTTAAATTCCTCTGTATCCAAATATTCTTATGCCCTTTTTATTCCTCAAGCTTCACCTTCAGTATTTTTTTTTTTTTTTCGGGGGTGGGTGTCAGCCTCCTTTTAGTCTATGACTGCAGGAGCTGGAAACTTTTCCAAAACCCCCAAAAGCCTCAAATGATTTGTCTTCCTGGCATTTGTTTAATTCCTGGAGCGTGTCATTATTCCAGCTTTCAGTGGGCTACAGCAAAAATTTAACTAAATAGGGATTTGTTTGATCATAGGGTGCAATTCTGCAGTTTCCATCCCACTGAGRATGGAGGTGACTGAAGGTTTGACTCATTTCAGAAGACCTTGTAGGTTTAAGATCTTTCAAAGGAAAGGGAAGAGAGAGAGAGATGAGGGAAAAGTCACTAAGGTTTTAGAAATCCTTTTTTTCRGGCAGTCACTGTCATTCTCATGAAACTTAGAAAAATGGATCCTGTTTTACACATACAACTACCAGGATATTCTTACAACTCATTATAAGACTACCATTGTTAGAAAAAGATTGTCATGATTTTTTTCTTTTTGTTCTATGTGAATATAAATTCTCATCTTGAGTATGTTTAAATGACTGGAGGGGGGAAAATAACAAATATTTGATACAACTGGAATAATTCTTAAATTAAGAGTTATGTTMATTCTTTTAAAAATCATAATTAGTTCCCTTGAGAAACATCTATATCATGAGGCTTGTTTTAAAGGTAGAATGATGGAATCTTTTGGTGAACATAATTCAGAGAAAAGATGCTGTCTTTTGTCTCATTACATTTGTTAATGCTTTTTGACTATGGAAGGAAAAAAAAACCCAACAATTAAAAAAACCCTGACAAACAAGCTAACAGCAGCTTTTAACAAGATTAAGAAATCCTTCCAAGCAATGGGAAGGATTAAATGCAAGTCAAGTTCAGCAGAATCACCCATGGCTCCCTCACTTACTTAAAATGCWCATGATTTATAAGCTCTGTGTGTCTGAAATAGCTATTTACAGTTTCAAAGAAAAACAAGCAAACAAATTCCTCAAAACAACAAAGAAACAAAACCCTCAAGAAGCAACACAAAAAAAAACCCAATTCACAAACACATTTATCTGAAAATGCTCATTTCAGGTGTCTTGCAGAGAAGCCCCAGTTCCAGAKGATGGTCTGGTGTAGCTTGACTCAGGGACAGCAAAGAGTTCACAGGGACCCTTCCTCAAGGATTAATATTTGTAGCAAGACATTTTAGCTCAGTCATCAAAAGTAAACAAAACAAATTTGGATTCAAAGACAATCTTCAACATCCAAGCCTTCTGGTGATATTCTTGAAGCAGTTTTCCTCCTGTTGTGTCACAAACGGGCATTTAGCATATTTTTGTTCCAGATGATGAAATCAGCTTACCAGTCCACAGGGATGGTTTGGATTGTGGCATTTCCTTCTGTTTGGGTTCCAGTAAAGGTGCCAATGAAAAAAAAAAGTAGGTGAATCAGCAACTGCATGAAAAGTAATCACAGGGGAAGGGAAGGGAAGGGAAGGGAAGGGAAGGGAAGGGAAGGGAAG